CATAAATCTCACACAATATATTTGTGTGTGTGTATTATAGAAATAAGTGATTTTTACATGTGTATAAGCAATAAATATATAAAAGATGAATCCCAGATATTTCTTCTAATCTGTAATGTTCAGCCAGGATGAAGCAACTCTGACACATGGTCTGTGTAGTTCAAGAAGGTTGGCAAGAAGGTCGGCCTTCAAGGCCCGAATCCTAGCGTCGATGATTCGATTGCGACGTCTACGGGCGGGATCTCTGCTGTCCTTGGATCTGCTGAATTTTAACCTCCGTAGCTGACTGTTCTTTTTGCAGCATTCGCACAACCTCAAACACATTTGGATGTGTCTTTATGGCATACTTGTTGATTTTGTTGTGCCAACCTTCCAAATTATTGTTAGTTCTGTGTCCATCATTTTCAAAATGATTCCAAGTTGGCAGAGTCCATGGACCTTCTACCCAGGTGGTAGTAACGTAATCCAAATGTATCCAAATAAATACAGCAAATCAATAACCCTTCTACTCCCAAGGCAAAATAAGTTGTAAGCTCTCTGTTTCTTTCCGGTATTTTTTTGTATGTTAAACTCCAAAGTGGTAATCCTTCCAATCGCATAACGTAAAATAATAGTTTGTTTGCAAACTTAATTCTCTTACAAATTGTTAAAAAGACATTCTCTATAATTAACGTAATTCATTTACTCATGAAACGAACGAACATAGCCACTTGCAAATCACTAAACAAACATTCTCGTTCATTAATTAACACCGTCACGGTATGTTGACCACGCGATGTGGACACTCCGGTGTTTTTGTTCTGTCGACGATTAGCAACATCCTATTTTTCATTTGTCGACAGATCGGGCTGACACCCAAGGTAATAGGGAGGAGATTAGATGTGCAATCATCTGTTTAGTTGTTTGTATAAGGGTGTATAACTACTCGTAATGGCACGTGTAACTAATGGGATACCGCTATGACGACAGACAGACAGACAGACAGATATTTTAAGTAAGTCTCACCTCATGTAAAAGTACAGATATATACACACATATACATAAAATGAGCCACCCTTTAAGGGTTATGAGAGACTATTACATAGAAGTGGCATATACGATAAAAGTAACAATATGAAATTAGCCGTATAAAAGATGTTTTCTTCTTTGAAGTATATAAAAGCAGGTTTTGGCTGTAAAATAAACATGTTCTTTAAATAGTAAAATCATTTTTTCATTATCACATAAATCTAGGAAGTTGGGATAGCTGAAACACATATGACCATATAAACTTTCACTTAGATCATCGTACAGCGGACATTCCAACAGTACATGACGTGTCACGTAAATAGATGATCAAGTGAACATTTTGTTTGTATAAGCGATCTCATAGGCGGATTCGGAGGAGGTGTGTGTGTGTGTGTGTGTGTGTGTGTGTGTGTGTCTGTGTGTGTGTGTGCATGCACACCCCTCCTTTTGTCATAAAAGTTTATTAAATGACTATTGACATTCTCGTGAAAGCGGGTTAAAATCGCTTTCTTCTAGCCTTGTCAAGGAATCAGTGCACGTGACGTCATGCTGCCGCAACAGTGTGAAATGTATATATATTTGGTTGATGCACATACATACACAATGTCTCACAGTCGCACAGTAGATGATTAACATTCGAGATAAAGTTTGATATTACCCTTTACTACATTCTAGCGGCTGTCGAACATTATGGACACTCATGCATCAAGACGAATTTGTCTTGAGTTTACACATAGGCGGATGCAGAGGGTGTGTGTGTCGTTGTTGCAGGGGTGCTCACCCCCACTTTTGTCCTGAAAGTTTATTAAATTGACCATTGAAACCCTAGAAAGAGAAATAAAAGTTGTAAACCCTTACAGATATTTGGGAATTGTATTCACGCCTAAACTTTCGTTGACTAAAGCACTAAATTGTTCTGCATCTCAAGCGAAGATATCAATCATCAGTATTTATCGATACCTGTATAATTTTGGTAAGTTCAACTACTGTGACCTTTTTAAATTGTGACATAGTAGTTTAAATTGTATGAAATAAGCATTAGTAGTTCCTACTTATATGACTGAGCAAAGCTACAGCTATTAAATTCTTGGTGCAGACTTATCCATCTGAAACCTTTAAAACTGCAGACTTATCCATCTGAAACCTACTCCCCACCAACCAATCCTACTACATGATTAAATCCATCTCTGATACAGGTAGTTATACTTGGGCTTCTGAGATTAGAAATATACTCTTAAACTGGGATTTGGACAGGTGTTGATACAACACGACATGGGAAACATTGATCTGTTCTTATTGGAATTGAAGCAACGACTGAAAGATAATCTAATTCAGGACTGGCATTCATCCCTACATGACAACTCAAAATGTTGCAACTACAAGCTGTTTAAATCTCTCCTTGATGCTGAAAAGTACCTTAAATGTGACATCCAACCTTATCTTATCAATCATATAGCTAAATTCCGTTGCAACAACTTCAACTTATTAATAGAATCTGGTCGTCATAAAAATATACGTCTCAGTCAAAGATTATGTGAAATGTGCACAACTAATAATGCAAAGTTCAACGAAGATGAATACCATGTTCTCCTGTGTTGTTCCAAGTATCACCATCTACGGAAAACATATATCAACCAATATTTCTTTGAAAATCCAACTTTGCATAAATTCGCTCAGCTCATGCAATCCACTGATATAACAGATATTAAAACAATCCAAGCCTCAGCTATGTTCCTGTACAAAGTGTTCAACGCACGTCGTGTAACCTCATGAACTTTAAAACTAAATTTATGCATGCAATGCACATTATCAATCGATTGCAACACTGTATTTTGGGCCCGAGGCCTTATATTGTAATAAATCTGTCTGTCTGTCTGTCTATTGAAACCCTCATGAAAATGGGTGAAAATCAGGGGCGTAGCTGCCATTATAGTCTGTCTCTCTCACAGTCCCTGAACCACATTATTTTCCCTACTGCCTAGCCCTCTCTGCAGTGCTAAAGCCCTAAATTAAGCAAGTCTAGATTTCCTCAGGTTCTGAATCTCTGGTCTCCCCGGGGCTCCTTTTCAATTTAAATGGGCTTGTTTGTTACTTAAACTTATATATATTCAGAGACTAAGCATTAGTCTACTACCATCACAAACAAGCCTGGACCTACACATGATTGTTGCTAAAAAGGTTGGACAAGCCCTCAATATTATCTAAATACAAAGCTTTGCAACCTATCGGGCTTACACGAAAAAATATGGCTTGTTATGTGCCTGAAATGAACCGTGCACACACCCCCCGTGTCCGCCCCTGTTACATCCTCCTTAGGAGCCGATCAAACACAGTTACTTGACACACGAAGAGCGAAACACAGGTCAGTGTGACATCTTCAAATGATAATTCCATGTACTTTCTTAATGACCTCGTAGCTCAAGAAAATAACAATCTGTCCATTCCCGGATAAACAATCACGTTGTCAAGTGTTTCTGCGCACGTAACTCACATCCTGAGTTCGATTTCGCCAACTCGACTTCATATGATTCGAGATTGTTAACGTACACAACTTGAAAGATGTGAAAAGCATATATGTGTTTCATCTTGATGTGCTGTCAATATATGCTCGCAGTCCATTAACTGTGCTGTTCACCATCACACGTTTTCAGATACATCATAGTATTGATCGTAAAGTCTGAGCTCTAATGGTCGACTTGAATGTATACAATGAAACTTCGTAGACTCAACCTTCTTCACCCTCATATCGTTTAGAACTGTAATTTTAGAAATGCACTGATGAGGGACCGACATTATGTTTTGATAAAACGCTTTTCCAGACAATACTGGACCAAAGAGTTTACCTCAATGCAATACAAAAACCAACGTGTTGTGAAAATTCGGCATTTCTTTCAATGTTATGGTTATGTGTTATGCGTCGCCAATGACTACGCTTATTTTTCATTGTACACCTGAAGAGCCGTCGAACGGCGAAAGATCTTGAGCAGTTAAAGGAGTTTTGACAAGGAGAAATATCAAGAAAAGCCAGTGGTTAATTGGCGTTCATTGGGGATAGTAATGGACTAACGGAAGCCAAGTGTAAATAATACTCACACGTTAGAAGCCCTAATAGATAATTAAGCTCTGATCAAGAATGGAAAAAGGGAGAGCAAGGATGTATAGCACTGGTTACTGATAGTTGTTTTCACGTGACATATTAGCTATCAGCTTCCCAGCTTTCATTCACCTGATGAAGGAGAAATAATATACTCCGTCGTGGACCGCGTAGCAAAGAAGCGGACATTTTCGGCCTTTATACTATTTTCCCCTCAAAGGAGATAGAAAAAAATGTCGAATTCTCATAATTCGTTTCTTATTTCTTGAAGTGAAAGATTTGTCCAAGTATTATTTGAAAAAAAGACTATATAATGACTTTATCATTACATTTTAAATAGTGTCCAGTTTTATGTGTAGCGAAGAGTAAGTAGTGACCAATATCCTGTTGTCCAAGTATTAAGAAAAAAGACTAAACTCCAACAATTCATATATAGTTCGAAGAAAGTAGTGACCAATTCTTTGATACATCCTATTTCATAATATTGTTTGGTCAAATTTGTTTCGTATGGATTCAATTGTGCTGTGGATCTGGCCGTTACGGCAGAGTACGTCATTTGACGTTAATGTATTGGCGTCATAACGTTTAAATTACGGAACCGTTACTACGAGTTGAACTTGAGACAAGCCCAGATTTGTTGCATAAGTGAGTTGAGTTTTATGCTGTATTTAACATTGTTTCAGTAATATCACAGCATGTCAGCTTGACGTAGGAGGAACGACCGTGGTGTTCTTGGAGGTTTTAGACTGGGCCATGCGTAGCCACCATTTACAATCAGAGTCCTTGATAACATTCGGAATAATTCCGAAGTTACAACACAAAATTTAAAAATTGTGAAAACTATGCTGCCTTGATCACACTGGTCAAACACAATTCATTTTTTCCCTTTGAATAAGAGTTTTAAAACAGCAGCTTCAGTTTATTAGGTAACAACGATACGGTCTATGTACCACAGATACATGTCCAATACTCTTCAGGGTTGAAATCAAGATAATCTTTTAATGAGCACGTATCAGTGTGCCGCCGTAGCTTGAGGCGCCCCCGCCAACGACCACGTGAGACACGATGGAGGAGGAATTAAACGAAAAGGTTATCCTGGATCCTTGGGTTAGTCGGGAGACAGTTGTAAGATGGATTGTGCCGTGGTTATGACCAGCCTCGGAATGTGGGTATCCTGTGCCGAGGACTCCATCGGGACCGTTCAGGTATAAATAGTGATCGTTGTGGTGGCTGTACATCATCACGTCAGCCCAGAACAAGTAGGTTCCAGAAACAGGTGCCTTGAACACGCCTGTCCTTGGGCTATAGGCTTTACCTATGTTCGTCAAGACTGTATCAAATTTGAGAGTGGTCCATGTGGTTTTCTCCTGTTTCTGGCTAACCTCGAAGGCAACATCTGCGTCAAGGTCATCTGCAAGAATTTAAGGTTTAGACATTCAGAAACATTTACAGCTTGTTAGGATCAAAGCGGACAGAGGGTTTGGAGAAGCCAAATACTTAAGGAATGAACACTCAAAGATAATAGTGTGTGAGTTTAGTTTTACTCCGCTTTTAGCAATATTCCAGCAATTTCGCGGACACCAGAAATGGGTTTCACACATTGTACCCATGTAGGGACTTGAACCCGGGTCATCGGCGTGACGAGCGAACGCTTTAACCACTAGGCTACCCCACCGCCCAAAAGATGAATGTATATTTGATTATTTTCTCACCTGTTATGTTTGGATTTGGTTTGAAGCATTTGACTTAAAGCTTCTATTATTCTTTGACGGTTTCAATGGTATTGTTGTTAACAAGTTCTGTGCAATATATGTGTTGATTAATTGAGTACGAAAATGATCACATATCATGTGTTAACCCTCAGCATACTAATACGAAAACCATTGTGTATCATCGGATGGCATTATACGACAAAGTAAAACGTAAAAAATGCCAATTTGACAATTAATGGAATATATCCTTTGCTCCACTTGGAAATATACCAATATTTTATTACCTGAGCAATAACCTTTCTTTAAAACTCTCCAAGGCGTCTGTTTATGCTATGTTTCGTGACTTATTTTCAAATTTGGTTCCATGAGAAACTAAGGTATACATTCATGGAATACATGACCATTTTGAAAGTTGTCAGCTCATCGATTTGACGCTTGTTATGAGTTGACTGCAACATATGTAAATGTTCTGCTATAACGTAAGTTAGATGCTTGATTGGCATTTTAGAAGATGCTATTTGATGCACATAAGCATTTTTCTGGATTACACCTTTTGTTCTTTGATACAACGTTTCGGGGCATGTTCCGGCATCATGACTGTTCATTAGTTTTACCTGATGATGGTGCCGGAACAGGCACCGAAACGTTGTATCAAAGAATAAAAAAATCTAGTCAGAAAATTGTTTATGTTCATATAAAGTAGGTTGTTGCCAGCATTTTCTTTTATGGATCTTTATGTCTATTATGCAAGGCCTTTTCTACTGTATTACTATGTAATTCAGATCAAACCATGAACAAATGATGAATGAACTATGGGAAATGTGTTCTATGAATGGTCCTGAATTAACGTAGCGTTGCTACCCTTAATTTAACCGTTGGTTTACCTGCATTTTGCTGCAGTTATCATCACATTTCAAGAGTTAGAGGCTGTTTAATTCATAAAAAGCAAATAATAATCACATGGACAGATGGGTTTGAATCCAGAGACTTCTACAACAACCAACACTGTAATATATCCGATGGTGTATCAAAATGCCTTGATAGTGCTTTTTTCAGGTCATAACAAGTCTACCCGTGACGATCCGGGTTAGAATTAGTCTTCAGTAACCCGTGCTTGTCGTAAGAGGCGACTAACAGGATTAGGTGGTCAGGCTAGCTGACTTGGTTGACACATGTAATCTTATCCCAATTGTGTAGATTGATGCTCATGCTGTTGATAACTGGATTGTCTGGTCCAGACTCGATTATTAACAGACCGCCGCCATACAGCTGGAACATCGCTGAGTGCGGCGTTAAACAACCAACCAACCAACCGACCAACCAACCACCTTAACAAGTCCTTAACAATGACCGTCATTTTCGACTACCCACTCAAGCCAGGTTCTATTACAACCTGATAAACACAGAGGACCCTTTTGCTACCATGGCTTCCCTTAAAACGGTACCAAACTAAAATAGTCGTCCATCACGCATGGGAGAAGTTCTCCGAGAGATAGAACACGGGAACGAGTTACTGATGTCTCGAATGAGTCAGGGTATATATTATAATACCCTACGAGTCGAATACATCGACTTTTATCATCCCATGCCTTTCATAAGCTGTGGATGGTCAGGTTCGCACTATGCTGAGTCAACTACGAAAGAAATGTTTGGTTCGAGACATTAAAACTAACCCCCTACTGTAAAACACATTTATTTCAACAAACTCCTTTTCATTTGTAAGAAGCGGAATCTCTGGCCTTCTACACAGTAGTGGTTATCGTGGAACTTGCAGGGGCAGGATAACTATATTCGCGAACACTCAGTATCATCGCTGATTTCTAGAAGTCACTTTCACATGATTTACACACCAAATGGAATCTATTTCTAAGGGTAGTCCAAACTGGTTATTGTTTTGTACTAACGTCCTAATTTCACAATGATGCTGATGCTTGGGTTCTTCCTTTCAAATCTGAAAAGCTACTCACGGACAAGGCGGGACATATTTTTAGTTGTTTTCTGCAAGGCCTCCTGTTTTGCCTGCACAATGAGGAGCTCGTCAGACGTTGTCTGTAGTTTGTCCTCGGTGGCCTTCAATTTCGACTTGACGCTTTCGAGCTCCACCGTGTTGACCTATCGGGAAACAAACATGGGTTAACTTTGGAGAAAACATGGATAAATAATTGTCTTCGACATTATGAAAGGACAATAATTCCAGCAAGATTGTGTGAACTCGCAGGGATTTGAAAGAGGCAAGACATCAATCTTCAGTGACGTTATGGTAGAATGTTCCGTGACAAAACCCGCCTGGTTAGTATGATGCTGAGGTTAATGAACTAATTCCTTGCGATAAATATTGATCCTGGAAGCGAGATTTATTTCAAATGTGTGATTTTTTTGTATTCGAATAATTTATACCCACTTCAGATTAGCAGTAGAGATATGTTGATTGTCATTCATACAAAGTTTGGATCCAGGCCTCAGGCAAAATGGGCAAAGCTTGTATGAGCTGACTACGGAGATGACCCAAGGGTTCAGCGTGTCCGTTGGCCATGCTGTCAACCATTGATTTGCTTAACCGATTACCCACAGACCACTCTCATATACCTACATACATTTTGGCTGACTTTAGTGTAAAACATCATTCATTTTTGCACTTTACTCACTTGCTTTGTACGGATAGTCTCTATTACTTCAAGCATGTTCTTTTGAAAGTTCAACATATCATTGATCTCAGATTACACAGGTGTGTGTGTCTACTGGTTGTATTTCAGTTCTGTATTACCACCAGTTGTACCATTACAACGGTATTGTAATTAAACACCAGTGGTGTGATTATAATCACAGATACTGGTGCAACTATTGCGACGTTTCAGAGCAAGTGATACAAGCATTGATTGATAAATTCTACCTCACTTAGATGGAGTAGCGTAATAGTGAAATCATTTGTTTTGGACATTATATGATGTTAATGAGTGAGTGAGGTTAGTTTTACGCCGCTTTTAGCAATATTCCAGCAATTTCACGGCGGGGGCATCAGAAATGGGCTTCACACATTGTGCCCATGTGGGGAATCGAACCCGGGTTTTCGGCGTGACGAGCAAACACTTTACCAACCAGGCTACCCCACCGCCCTGATGTTAATGAGGTGTATCCACGAAAACATGAGTCTATGCGAAAACTTCTGTAACAAGTCAGCCAAATAAGCAGGGAGGACGAACCTCGACACTGACCCCCGTCCTGGAGGGCCTGTCACATCAGCAACACCAGAACTGATCCAGAGATTCCACGATATGATGATGCACGACCGGCGAATGGATGAACGTCTTATTGCCAAAGAGAGAGTACATTCCATTATCACAGACAAACTTTTGAAGTGAAAAAAATATCAGCTCGTTAGGTTTCAAAGACTCTGACATTTGAAACAATATCCTTACACAACATGTCTTGTGAACATGAAGTTGATTCTTGCAAGGATTTGTGACTATGGATGGAACCTGTGCTCTTCACATCCAGCCGGAGTCAAACAACAAGGACATCGCCATAGTGTGAGCAGGTGTCAGCCTCATTTGTGTACACAACATGTGGCCCTTCAATGACTTTTGCTTCACATGACATAAATTTATCATATTCACTAAGTTTCCTTAGGAAAAATCCTCACTCTGGAATATGATACCATGCTACAACGGACCAAGTCATAATCTCCCATGAGAAATATTGTCAAATGCCACTGTCGGTAAATAAACTAGTTTGAACCAGTTTGTGCAAGCTTAAGGAACGTTTCGTTCCATAGTGGCACAGCCTTTCCTCAACTGAAACATCGAATCTGACTGCCAGATCCGTCTGCATCGGTTCTGACTGAGTTTGATGACGATCTATATTGTTCCTGTTGCTAAGAAACGTAAACTAAGGGATAAACAAACACAAATGTGCATTTACCTGAAAACGGGATTGTAGCGATGTCATAGCTGTTTCTAAAGTGGACACATGGCTAACTAAACTCTTCACATCAACCTGTCCATCTGGTTTGGTGAGCGGCATTATTAAGCCCGATGCAATAGAAAATAGAACGGCTAAACATAACAGCATGGTTCCAGGCGTCATGCTTGATAGCTTGGAATCACACAAGTGACGGAGACACACATGGAAGTAGTTGTATGTTGGCTGATAACGTTTCATATCTCTGAAATGTCTGGAATCTAGATTAGGAGCGGCACCATTGTGTGCTAGTTCATATCCTTCATAGATGAGTTGCGTAATCATTCATCAATTGCAGTGTTGGTTTTGATAGTGCATGTTTTCTATTGAAACGTATAAGTGAGAGAATAATCTGAACCGAAGCTTAATTTGTATATGTTTTTTATGGAATATTGGTTCTTTTTAGAGTTGAATATAAAGAACTAAGCCATGATACTACATACAGCTCAGAATACGCTTATGGCAGGGGAAAATATTTTAATGCTTTGAACAAGGTAAAAAGGGTTAACTGGAAGAGGTTTTGGTATAAAGATCCTGGTGTGGTGGGTATTAGAGTATATATACTGAGTCAAAAAAGAAACTTCACATTCTTTCTACAGGGCACTCTAAAAAGAACAAGAGATGGTAAGATGGTTAAATTGTTATTATTTCATTGCTGAGATCTGTGTGATGTACTCGATACAATGACAGTGCCATAATCAGTTCCATTAGGCTACACCGCCGTTCCAAAACATGGGTATACAGAATGTCAAGTCACAAGAATAAAAATGCGAAATTTCTCAGTTCAATATCGTGTATGGCCGCCCCGCGCATTCACCACTGCCAAACACCGTCTCCTCATCGACTGCCTGATGCTTGTGAACACGTGGTTGGGGATTCTGCGCCATTGCTCTTGCAAGGCAGCGCCAAGTTCCTGCAAATTCTGAGGTTGGTTCCTAAGACCACGAAGCCTTCTCCCAAGTGCATCCCAAACGTGCTCTATTGGATTAAGGTCAGGGGACCTCGATGGCCAGTCCATGACGTTGATTCCAGCGTTTTGAAGGAAATTTCGTGTCAACATCGCGGTATGCGGCCGAGCATTATCATGCTGGAACTGTAGACCTGGGCCATGAGCCGCCATGAAAGGAACGAGTTCAGGGGTGAGCACCTGGTCGCGGTAAGCAGCAGCTGTGAGGTTTCCACGGATGACCAGAAGTCGGGAACGGTTGTTCCCACAGAAAGCACCCGACACCATGCAACTTCCGCCCCCGAATCTGTCGACTTCCTGTACACAACATTGGGCATACCGTTCACGACGTCGTCTCCAGACTCTATGCCTGCCGTCCGCGAATCTGAGGGTAAACCTGGATTCATCGCTAAAGACGACTCGATTCCAGTCTCTCTGGGTCCATCGGAGGTGACGTTGGGCCCACAGCAGACGTTGACGTTGGCCCACGATATGGACGTCGAGAATGGAGATTGGCAGCCCGCAACCGATTTCGAATGGTCTGTGAGGACAGTCGACCTCTAAACATCTCAGCCCTGGTTCGTGTAGCCGGCAGAAATCTGTCACGTAGGTGACGTAGGACGATTTGACGGTCTTCTGCTCGTGACGTCACACGTGGACGACCCGACCTTGGGCGATCAGAAGTGGTGCCAGTTTGTTGTAGACGACCTCGCAAGTCATACACAGTACGACGGCTGCATCCCATTGCTCTTGCGACGTCAATAACTGATCTTCCCGCTTGCAACATGCCAACGGCACGTTCACGTTGCACATTTGACAATCGCGGCATTTCAAGCACGTTAGAACTGTGGTTTAAAAGTGTTTTTTTCAATTCTTGAGGCCAATGCAAACACGTGCATATGAAGACAACTTCGATGCGAAGATCACGTGATCGACTGCAAGTGCAAAACCTGATTTGGCACTAACATCATTTGCACGACGAATGGATGGGTTTGAGTGGGTTTTGCTAACGTTTTTCTAGAGTCGAAAGATAGGGATCCCATTTCGGATACATAGATGTATCATCAGAAAAAAATTATTCATTATTTTTCAAATTACATTTTGTGAAGTTTCTTTTTTGACTCAGTATATATTATCAATCTAACAAGTCGTTCAGTACGATTTTGTAGATATTTGATGCACACGCATGTGAACGAAACTGTAAAAAGATGCTATAACTCATCAATATTGCGAATGACTAAGTGAGTATGCGTTTATGATGAATATATAATTTTCCATCATAAACAACACTTGCCACTCATTATAACATATCAACGCATGAACAACCATACGGTACACTACACCAAACCACATCGCTAAATGTTTATCGTGGTGCATCAGAGAATATTGGTTTACGGCCCTTAAAAGTTGGAGATGCAGGCGTTTGAGTGGCTTTAATCAATAGATATTAAATGGGTATTACAATTCCCCAAATGCAAAAGTAATGTCATTTCAAGGAAATGTCCGTGAATTGCCATGCTTTTTCGCTCCAGCTAGAGATATTCCTTTCGTAAACGCAAGTCATAGAGAGAAATAAGTCTTGCAAACTAACTAGATTTCTATTTATGTGCTACCAAGCATACAGAATATACTATGCATTATGCAAAAAATATTTTTGTTACCTGGGAACTGGTATCAGCCTCAAGAATGCACCTACATATTTGTCAATCATTTTGACATGTGTTTTACTCGAGTCATAGGTAATGTACACATGGAAAAAGTATCATACCACCCCATATGTTTCATTCTTTGAGTGGCATTTTAGAAGTTTGGAAGTACAATATTGACAAACTTTATGGATCACAACTTCTTTTATTTCGTGCAACGTTTCGATACACATTCTTGTACCGTTGTCAAGCAGGAATTGTGTGGATCTGTGTCGAATCTGTATCGAAACGTTACACACTCTCGAATTGAAAGAAGTTGCCATCCACAAAGTTTGTCGATACCATATTTTTCATAGTTTCAGTATGTTATCATTAGAAAATGCAGTTATCCAAACCTGAATTCAACTTACCATCTGAATAATTTGACCGCCAATGAATAATCAAACGGCAAATCTAAACGAAAAAAGAACAAAAAGCTGTAGTTCATTCAGAGAAACAAACATGGTAAAAACATACTCATTTTTGTAGTGCATATAACCATGATCATGTGATGTTAACCAGTGCGGCCAGGTTCAAGATTCAGGCATATAATATTGAAGAAATAAAATAAGTATCAATGTCAATGTGTCACTATGTCAATATCTGCTGTTACCCCGGCCAACTAACATCCCTGAACTTCCTCCTCATTGACTGTATCAGAAGTTGAATCTGACATTGATGTATTGCGTTTCATTCCTGATGGGCTTGTTCCAACACATCATGGTTATGTACTGGAGGACCTCTCCTGCGTATTGTCTTCAGCGTATTCTACCTATAATATCCCAAACACCATGCTCTACAAGGTGGAGTTGCTACCGCCTCTTGACGTGAGAACTCACTAAACTCACGTGCACGATGTGGCCAAGCATTGTCGTCCATGAAGACTGGATTTTGCGTTCAAAGGATGGTCATGGAAGTGTGGTACAACAACTATGTCTAGGATGTCAGTGATGACCGTTGTCCATTCAGATTCTAGCTCATGGTCACAAAGTCAAGTTCACAGTGTTGTGAGAGGAACCCCCACACCACCAATGAATCTCAAATATATCCCGTTGTTCATATGCAGCGTTTATGAGGCGATCCAAACAGTGGACAAATGACATCAATTTTCAGCGACGACGAGCTCTGCGGATAACGTCTGTAAGGTCGTCTGGCTTTATACCCGGCCGATTTAAGGCGATTTCGAACCGTTCTCTTGAACAAACTATGATGTGCAAGCAACTCTGTTTTTAACACACAACTTAACATGAACGGATGATTCTGAGAGCAGCTCTGTTCCCCCTAGGAGTTGTCACTCGTGGTCGGCCTGAACGCTGACCTTCCTTAAATCATCAATTTGCTGACGTTTTCTGTGACAACCATCTCTTCCAATAGCCCTAAATGGCATGTCAGCTTTCCGCTGAGAAGGTGTCAGATGAGGGGCCCCAATATTTGCTAATCAACAACGACGTCAATTGATTTTCCAGGTTATCGAGCTGCAAGAACAGTTTACTGAAACTTGATATTTACTTAATGACGGGTACACGTATTGGACGTGATAGTCTTGCTTGGTTGTGAATCTCTAAAAAATATCTAAAATCAATGTATGGATAACAAATGATAAAACATTAACATACGAACTAACATGATATAAAAATAAAAAGCTATGTGTAATGAGGGTTAAAAATATAAGTGTGGCGATACCTTTTACCATGTGTATATATTCAAGTCAGATGTGTCTAATATACACTCCTTATATGTGTCGTAAATATGTGCTATTTTTTCAATATCATTAGAATTTACTCCTAAAAATAGCTGATTTTTAAACAAGATTCGTGACATTCTTCGCCAACGTGTGCACAAAGGAATGCAGATAACAAACCGATGACATGGGCATTTATCAAACCTGTGAAAGACAGGTGCCGCCGGAATGCCATAACCTTTGTAAAGCTATGATACGTTGTCTTCTATTGTAACCCAAATGGTTATGAATTGCCAAGTTAAACACTGGTAATAATTTTCAAGTTGCCTGTTCTGTTTCAAACGTTCCATTGAGAGCAGTCAAACCAACAGGTAGCATACCATTGCACCATACAGGTAGCATACCATTACACCATCAGAGCAGGTTTAGCTAATAATTTAAGAACTCACAAACAGCTGGAGTCAGACATGCCTCTCGTTGTTGCGCCAAGCCTAAGTGTTCTATCGTCGGTTCTTTTGTACCAAGTGTAATAAGTTCACGTGGACGTAAATTTCATTCTTAATGTACCAGATTCAAAACTATGAAGAGTTTTCACTGATAATTGAAACTATTGATATTTATATATTATGACGATATGAATTTACGGATTGATCAATTTGTGTGAACTTGTCAGGGCGCCTCTTTAAGACCGTCGTTTATCTGTAATAGTAAATATATGTAACTCGATAATTCAAATAACTTCCAAAAGAAACACAATTTTTTTTCTGAGTTCGACTTTGAAAATATTCTAAAGTGAAAAACAGGAATACAAATAATCCATCTTC